TTTTAATTTTAAAATGAAATAAACAGGGGTTCTATCCATTTTCTGGCGAGTAAGCACTCAACGATTAGTTCCTGAGGTGACCACTTCTGTATTTTTGATGGAGTGCCCTGCCTGTTCTTCCATTCCACCTGCTTCTGCAAAAGGTCTGGAGCCTTGGAGATGGCTGGCTCTCAGCTTTTGGACAGTTTCATGTTTCCCGCTTATCTCTCTTTTTATAAAAACAGAGTCTGCTTATCCTCGAAAATGGTATTCCTCCAAAATATCAGAATATCTTTTAGATAAACTAAGCGGGCTCTAATCTTCTGGCAGCAAGCTACTTTAGATTTTTTCTTCTTTTATACCTGCTCCTGTTCTATTTCCAGTTTTCAGCCGAAATTATTGACTCCTCCAAGTCAGGGATCACGTGGGACTGTTCCGTTTTGAAGGCCAGCTTGAGTCTAATTTGCTTTTGAGCCTAGTTTTGGATTTCTTCGAGGCCCAAGTTTTTTCTGATTCCTATTGTTCACAAGCCCTTTAATGTTTTGGGCCGTGATTTTGGCCTGGCCGCTCATTTAATAGGCTGGGTCGTGCTGATGGGCTTGAGGTCGTCTGATACAAGCGGCCCAGGAGATGGTGTGGGCTTTTGTTTTTGGCGTGCTAAATTTGGGCCCAAACAATGTCTACTTGAGTTTCCTTGCTGGAAAATATCCATTTTGCATGAGCAGTATGATAACTAGATTGTCGGGAATTTTGGGTACCTGAATTTTGTGTATATCTTGTACATTGATTAATACCTTATGCATAGAGAAACAAAAGAATATTTATATATCGGACGATTATAACGACTAAAATCTTTTGTAACAGAAAGGAAATCAAAACCCAGAAACAAAGATGGACGACAAAGAAGATACATACAGAGTCGGCGAAATCGAGGAATCGGACCCGAAATCCGACTGGTCATCCCGGAACCCGAATCTGAAAAGCGCGAGGATGAAGGTTCCAGAAGGTGTGGTCTACTTGTATCGGCGAGGCAAAGGCCCGATCGACACGTTCAGGACGAGCCTCGGGTGTTGGGACCAGAACTAGTTGGAGGTCCGAGACATTCTCGACAAGTACGGCTTCAAATCGCTTTACGCTTTCAATACCGGCTCGGGTCGCGGCGTTCCGATCCGGTTTAACCCCAGGAACGGCAGGTCTATGCTGGCTTATAAATATGGATCTACATTTCACATTGACGGAGAGCCCAAGGTACTTCATTTCTATACCTTTTTTCTTTTTTCTTTTTTCTTTTTTCTTTTTTTTATGAAAACCCAATTTGTGAAATTAATCGAAGTAAGTTCTTGTTTGGTTGCCGAGAAAATTTGGTTGCATCGGGTAGAAATAAATGTAACTTTAATGTGGTCACTCTCAATTAGCAATAGGGTAGTTCCTCCATACAATCAGAACCTTTAAAGCAAGATATATTATAGCAATTTACTTCGTTGAATTTGAGCCATCAATTTCCATGCTTATTTTCTGTTCTTTTGTTTACATGACATTGTGTTTGCAGCCTAAGCATGGATATGATTTTGACTATTGAGTTCACCTAAAGAACTTGCCAGATTCATCTTATAGGTTTTGATCATTTATATGATAGACACTGAGTTTTACAACCACATATTCCTAAACAGTAGGATTTTACAGCATTTTTCTTGAAGATTTGTTAGAAAATTTGGCATCAAAGTAATAATTTGATTTTTCAAAATAAGACTCCGTCCCTTAATCAAGCCATTAGTCATATTAAATTTATCTTCAGTATAAGGTATTAAGTAATGACATTCAGTTGGTTAAGAACATTTATCCATACACGAGAGTTTCGATTTCCACTCCCTCAATATCACTTGTACAAAAAAAAAAAAAAAACACAAAATACTGTCCTCCAATTTGGTTAGGTAAAGAATAACCTAATAGCTGTATTTAATCTAAAGAGGACGCTTGAAGTTCAAATTCTCTTCGCACACATGATGATGTTGTTGGTGTGTAAATGGTGAACTGATTTAGTATTATATAATCATTTTGTTTAGTGTTAAGCCTTAGCTCATAGGCTAAGTCAGTTTGTTAAGTCTCCTAGGACTTAACTTGGACAGGTGTCATAATCTCTTTGATAGTGTAGTTGGATGGTGAGGATTGAGGCTAGGACTTGTCTAGCTCTCTCTCTCCTCTAACAGAAAAATGAGTCGGCTGTGCATAGTGCACCAGAATTTTACACACGAAATACAGAAGGAAACACAGAGCATTTTATTTCCTTCACTCTCTTCTTCAATATACTCATTCCTCCATTTTTATCAAAAGCTTATTAAACACTAACATGGCCTCAGAGCCAGGTTCGGTCTGAATTTCTGGGCGTCGGGATTGTTAGGGTGAGCTCCGATTCACAAGCAAAATCTTATTGCAGTGATTCAAGCTTGCATCGATCGAGTCTAACATGGCTGGGTCTGGAGGAGGAGAACTCAGGGCACCCATTTTTAATGGTGAAAATTTCGATTTCTGGCAAATCAAAATGAAAACCATCTTTCGTTCGCACGAGCTCTGGGTATCATCCAAGGGGCTGTATCAGATCAAATTTTTCCACGAATTGCAACTCAGGAATCTGCAAAGGCTGCGTGGGATATTCTGAAACAAGAATTTGTGGGTGATAAGCAGGTAAGATCCGTGAAACTTCAGGGTCTTAGGCGTGATTTTGAGTACTCTCGGATGAATGATAATGATTCTTTGTCTGGATATATTGCTAAGTTGTTTGATCTGATAAATCAAATGAGGAGCTATGGTGAGGATCTGAGCAATCAACGTATTGTTCAAAAACTGCTTATCAGTTTACCTAAATCCTATGATAGTATAGCTGCTGTGATAGAGAATACAAAGGATTTAGATACCATTGATGCTCAGGATGTTGTAGCCATTTTAAAGGGATATGAGCAGAGGCTTGATAGGCATGGTGACAATAGTGCGGAGAAGGCATTTGCTAGCTTGAATGTTGGGTTCCTTTGGTTTTCAACACACTCAAGGAGGTTGCATTGAAAGCAAAGGTGCAAGAGTGTTCCAAGATATGGCACAAGCGGTTTGGACATCTAAATTTTAGGAGTCTCAAGCTGCTGCATAACCAAGCAATGGTATTGGGGCTGCCTGAAATCCAAAATGCCGATGTGGTGTGCCAAGGTTGTGAATTGGGAAAGGGTCATCGGGAGCCATTTCCTAAAGAATCACAGTGGAGAGCCAAGGAACCATTGGAACTGATCCATTCGGATCTGTGTGGTCCAATGCAAACCCCAAGTCTCGGTGGAAATAAATATTTTATCACCTTCATCGATGATTTTTCACGGATGTGCTGGGTCTATTTTCTGAGAAACAAGTCCGAGACGTTCCATGTGTTCAAGAAATTCAAGGTAATGGTTGAGCTGCAATCTGGATACCATGTGAAAAGGTTGAGAACCGATCGAGGGGGAGAGTTCATCTCCACAGATTTTATTCAGTTTTGTGCAAATCTGGGAATTGAAAGGCAGCTCACAGTCGCTTACTCTCCACAGCAAAATGGCGTAGCGGAAAGGAAAAATCGAACCATTGTCGAAATGGCAAAGTGTATGCTTCATGACAAAGAGCTGCCCTACACACTTTGGTGTGAGGCAGTGAATACTTCTGTGTACTTGCTAAATAGAAGTCCCACCCGAGCTTTGGAGAATACTACACCGTTTGAGAGGTTTAGTGGGAGAAAGCCTGGGGTTAAACATCTCAAGGTGTTCGGCTCGGTGTGTTACTCTCTTAACCCGGGACAATTGAGGCATAAGCTAGAGGCAACAAGTGCCATTGGAGTATTTATCGGATATGGAACATGTGAGAAGGGTTATCGAATATTGAACCCTGCAACTCAGAAAGTTTTGCTCTCTAGAGATGTCACCTTTGATGAAAATGGCAAATGGGACTGGGAGAGGCACACAGTGAAAGAAATCTGCATTCCACTACTTGCAGATGATATTTCAGATAGGGGAGCATCAGAAACCGTGGCTGCACCTACAGGGGAAGTCATTGTTGATGTTTCTCAAGTGGAAATTGATAGTCCCTTAGCTGCTGGAGGTGGTGAATCGAGTGGACTACAGTCTTCACCTCATTATGATGACACACCTTTGAGGTATAGAAACTTGAGCGAGATTTATGAGAGATGTCATTTATGTATAGTTGAGCTTGAAAACTTTGCTGAAGCTGCACAGGATGAAGCATGGAAAAAGGCGATGGAAAATGAGATGAGCATGATTGAGAAAAACCAGACATGGGAGTTGGTACGTAGACCCTTCAATAAACCTGTAATTGGAGTAAAATGGGTGTACAAGACCAAATTAAACTTGGATGGTTCGGTTCAAAAGCATAAGGCCAGATTAGTTGCAAAGGGCTATGCACAAAAGCCTGGGATAGACTACAATGAAACCTTTGCACCAGTGGCAAGGTTGGATACTATACGAACTCTTATCGCTTTGGCTGCAAAGAACAGTTGGAGAATGTACCAACTGGATGTGAAATCTGCATTTCTAAATGGAGTGCTTAAGGAAGAGGTGTATGTAGAACAGCCCGATGGTTTCACTATACAAGGAGAGGAGGATAAGGTGTATAAATTGCACAAAGCCTTATATGGCTTGAAACAGGCTTCTCGAGCCTGGTATGGAGAGATAGACTCTTACCTTATGCAGTGTGGTTTTAAAAGGAGCACAAGTGAGGCAACATTGTATGTTAAAGGTAAGGGAACCTCGGATCTGGTCATAGTATCCATTTACGTGGATGACATAGTTTATACAGGGAATTCTCAAGAGCTAATGCAAGACTTCAAGGCTGATATGATGCAGAGGTATGAGATGACAGATTTGGGTTTGTTACATCACTTTCTAGGAATGGGAATTATCCAAATTGAAGATTTCATTTTCATACATCAGAAAAAATATGCCTCTACTCTCTTGAAAAAGTTTAGCATGCAGGATTGTAAACCGGTTGGTATCCCTCTTGTACCAGCTGATAAACTGAGGAAAGATGACGAAAGTGGAGCTGCAAATGAAGCTGAATACAGAAAATTAGTGGGAAGTCTACTCTATCTCACTGCAACCAGACCGGACATAATGTATGCTGCATGTTTGCTTGCTAGATTCATGCATTCTCCTACAAATAAACATTATGGAACCGCCAAGAGGGTACTAAGGTATGTACAGGGCACACTTGATTTTGGTCTGGAATACAAGAAAGGAGAAGGATCGGTTTTGGTAGGTTTTTGTGATAGTGATTGGTCTGGATCAGAAGAGGATATGAAGAGTACATCGGGATATGCTTTTACATTTGGCAGTGGGGTATTCTCTTGGGCATCTGTGAAGCAACAATGTGTTGCTCTATCTACTGCTGAAACAGAATACGTGAGTGCATCAGAGGCAACTGCACAAGCTACCTGGTTACGGTTTGTATTAGAAGACTTTGGTGAGATGCAGACTGTGGCAACACCCCTAAACTGTGACAACACCTCAGCTATTGGTATCACCAAGAATCCGATCTTTCATCAGAAAACCAAACACATAAACCGAAGGTATCATTACATCAAAGAGGCTCTACAACAGGGAGTAATAGACTTGATTTACTGTCCTACAAAGGAGCAAGTAGCCGACATATTTACCAAGGCTTTGGCAAGAGAACAGTTCTCTTATCTCAGAGAATTGCTTGGAGTGAAATCAGTTCACAATTTGAAGGGGAGTGTTGGTGTGTAAATGGTGAACTGATTTAGTATTATATAATCATTTTGTTTAGTGTTAAGCCTTAGCTCATAGGCTAAGTCAGTTTGTTAAGTCTCATAGGACTTAACTTGGACAGGTGTCATAATCTCTTTGATAGTGTAGTTGGATGGTGAGGATTGAGGCTAGGACTTGTCTAGCTCTCTCTCTCCTCTAACAGAAAAATGAGTTGGCTGTGCATAGTGCACCAGAATTTTACACACGAAATACACAAGGAAA